ACTGGCTAGGGTGAGAACCCATTTCTTTGTTAAGCTGTCCAGTTCCTGCAGTTTGTTATGGTGGCCCCAGGACATTAGCACGTCAGTGTGGGTACTTCCTGAGCCTGGGGGGTGAAAAGCCCTCTCCCTGCCAGGTCAAGGTCAGAGGCGTGCCTGTGTCCCTGCGGGTGTGGACCAGCTCCTGCAGGCTCTTGGTTTTTCGTCAGAGAGGCGGCTGATTTCTGAGAACAGTGCACCCAGCGAACGTCCTGAGGGCAGCCGCCGGGCACGCCTAGGCACAAGCACAGTCCCCGACAGAGGCCACCCTGGGAGAGAGGCAGGGATCAGACCTGCAACCCAGGAACTTGCCCTTGACTGGGAATCGAACCTGCAACCCCCTGGTGCGTAGGCCGATGCTCTAACCACTGAACCATGCCAGCCGGGGCAAAAATCTACTCTTATACCATGTGTCTTCCCACACTCCGAATTACGGGGCTGAGTGAATGCTTGCTGAGCTGACAATGCAATGAATCCATGAACAGATAACGTGGAGATGAAAAGAAAATCATTCTGACAAAGGAAAGCTGGGGAGATTTAAAGTCGCCTCGGGCAGCCGGCCTGGGAGATTCACACACACTACTGCACACACACTCACAGACTACTGCACACTCACACACACTACTGCACACTCACACACACTACTGCACTCACTCACACACTACTGCACACTTACACACACTACTGCGCACTCACACTCACACACACTACTGTACACTTACACACACTACTGCAACTCACACTCACACTACTGCACTCACACACACACTACTGCACACTCACACACACTACTGCACACTCACACACACTACTGCACACTTACACACACTACTGCGCACTCACACTCACACATACTACTGCACTCACACACACTACTGCACACTCACACGCACTACTGCACACTCACACACACTACTGCACACTTACACACACTACTGCGCACTCACACTTACACACACTACTGCAACTCACACTCACACTTACACTACTGCACACACACACACTACTGCACTCACACACACACTACTGCACACTCACACACACTACTGCACACTCACACACACTACTGCACACTTACACACACTACTGCGCACTCACACTCACACATACTACTGCACTCACACACACTACTGCACACTCACACGCACTACTGCACACTCACACACACTACTGCACACTTACACACACTACTGCGCACTCACACTTACACACACTACTGCAACTCACACTCACACTTACACTACTGCACACACACATACTACTGCACTCACACACACACTACTGCACACTCACACACACTACTGCACACTCACACACACTACTGCACTCACACACTACTGCGCACTCACACACACTACTGCACTCACTCACACACACTACTGCACACTTACACACACTACTGCAACTCACACTCACACTTACACTACTGCACTCACACACTACTGCACACTCACACACACTACTGCACACTCACACTACTGCACACTTACACACACTACTGCGCACTCGCACTCACACATACTACTGCACTCACACACACTACTGCACACTCACACACACTACTGCACACTCACACACACTACTGCGCACTCACACTTACACACACTACTGCAACTCACACTCACACTTACACTACTGCACTCACACATACTACTGCACTCACACACACTACTGCACACTCACACACACTACTGCACACTCACACACACTACTGCACTCACACACTACTGCACACTTACACACACTACTGCGCACTCACACACACTACTGCACACTCACACACACTACTGCACACTTACACTGCTGCACACACACTGCTGCACTCACACACGCACACTACTGCACACTCACACACATACTCACATATTACTGCACACACACTACTGCACATCACATACACTACTGAAACACACACTACTGCATGCACACACACATATGCACACGTATGCTCACACACACACACACCAAGGAAGGGGCACCGGTGGAAGGACAATGTTTGTTCCTCCTCCTCTTTCCTCCTCCTTGCTGGCTGGAGGTAGAGGACACATTGGTAACAGCCAAGCAGCCAGACACAAGGAACCTCTGTCCCTGGCGAGGAGGTTGCGGGCTCCCTGCGGCCCCGCAGCCTAACCATCAGGCCTGAGCTGTAAGCCTCCTGTGTCAGCACTCCTTGCTGTTTACCCAGAAAATGCTTGGTCAGGAAGATCAGACTGTAAACCAATAAATAACTTCACTGTTTGCTGCAGGAAATCGTGAAAAATAATGTCTGGCTCATCTTGACAAACAACCCCCTTCTCAGGATGACAGATCGCTCCCTTGGGCAAACAGCCCGTTTATCAAACAGCTGTTTTTACTCATCAAGACTCAAATATTCAAGGCTGCGTGCACCAGGCCTGCACTGCTGCGTCACCAGCGCGGCTGCCCCGAGACCCCAGCCTTGAGAGACCCCACACCCCGAAAGGTCCACTTGGACCTGCCCCTGCAGTGCTCTCCGCCTACAGTGGCCAATCCCCTGAGCGTGGGGTCATTGGCAGGTGTTTCTGCTGGTCTCTTGGGGGAGTTGACATTGATCATGGAGGCACCACCCCAGTCCTGGACTTCACCCCCGCGAGAGGGACATACATCTCCGTCTTGTCAGGACACTTGTACTTTGGGGTTTTGGTCAGTGGCGGCCAAAGGTGACCCAGCGCACTGTCCGTTCCCCTCCGCGCCGTACCGCCCGGTGTGACGCCCGCGCAGTATGATGCGCAGGAGCTTCTTGTGGGTTTTGGACGCCTGGCCGATAAAACTATTTTAGAAACAGACACACCATCACCTAGACCTCTAAACAAGTGTTTCTTTCAAATTATCCACCTTGCCACGTGTTCATGTATCTCAATGATACGGCTGTTGCTCGAGACACTTTCAAACCCTCTTTTTGTAATCACATCTTGATTTCCCGTCCTCGGTGGCGACAAACCATCTATTTTTGTGAAAAACGTTTTATTATGGGTAATTTCAAACATATGCAAAAGTGGGCAGCATGATATAACGCACAATGACCAACTTAGGACAAGTCTTAGTTCATCTAGGCCCTTACTCCTTCCCTTTTCCATTTGCATTACTTTGAAGCTAACCCTAGAGATCACATTTTTCACTCAGAAATATTTCAGTTCATCCAAAAGGTAAGGCTTCTTGAAAAAATATTAGCCCACCTAAAATATTAGTAGCAATTTCTTAATATTATACGATCAAATAGCATTTAAAATTTCCTAATGCATAATTTTTGTACTATTTTATTTGTTAAAATCAAGGTAAGAATAAAGTTCACATATTGGTTGATGTCTCAGGTCTGTTTTTCTTTAACATTTTTGATTGAAGTAAATGTAGAAAAAAGACATATGAACCTTAAGTGTATGGCTCAATGAATTTCCCAATCTCTGTTACTCTCCCTTTGGAATTTACTTGGTCAAGAACATGTTTGTCCTGTAGTTTTCCACGGCCCTTCTTGGCTGGTGGCCCATGGTTTCGTTTGGCATGTTCCTTGATCTCTCTTCCCTGTAAATTGCTGGTTACATCCAGAGGCTTATCAGATCAGCTCCGCTTTGGGCAAGACCATTGGTAGGTGCTACTGTTGACTCCTAGCAGTGGGCTCGTGGTTCCCTGGATGTCTCTTTCTGACAGCATCTTTTAAAAAAATATATTGTATTGATTTTTTACAGAGAGGAAGGGAGAGGGATAGAGAGTTAGAAATATCAATGAGAGAGAAACATCGATCAGCTGCCTCCTGCACACCCCCTACTGGGGATGTACCTGCAACCAAGGTACATGCCCTTGACCGGAATCGAACCTGGGACCCTTCAGTCCACAGGCCGGTGCTCTATCCACTGAGCCACACCGGTCAGGGCCTGACAGCATCTTTTGAAGGTGGATGTGATGTTACCAACAGGCCAAAGCCAGGCCAAGCTGGCCGGTGAGCAGTGTGAGTGATCAAGCTGGAAAATGGTTTGAGTCGAAAAGGTGTGATTAAGCCATGACTGACTTTCTTGTGAGGTTGGTGAACTGTCCCCGAAGGAAATTCCAAAACAGTCCCCCAAACATCCTGTGCGGTAGCAGCAGCAAATGTACAGCCACCAGGGTGACGAACGAGAGCGGAACAGCAGTGACACTGATGGAGAAACTGCACGTTGGTTATAGAACCAGCTTTGCTGTGGGGGCGGTATCTGCGGTCCCTCTCTAGTCATTCGCTCCTCTCCAGGCCCCCACATGTCACACCATGTACCACACTTGTGCTGTGAAGTGGGAGCCGGGACCGCGCCTCTCCTGCTGAAATGCAGCCCTCAGCTCCCCGCAGGGCAGATCCTGGCTCTCGCCTCAGTCGCACCCCACAGCCCGGACGTGTGGACGGGTGGCTGCTGGGTCCCACCCAGCCCCTCCCCAGCCCTGGCGTTTGCTTCATCGGCGAGAATGTGGGCAGGGCACTGCCGGGGAAGCCTGCCGCTGCTGAGCCGTCCACAAAAAATGAGGAAGCGCGAGGGGACCGCAGCTCCGGCCGTCCGTCCGGGGGCAGGGGCTCGGAGCAGACGGGCGAGCCCGAGGCCCCAGCTTTTTGGAAACAGTGCAGACTTCCCTGTTCCGATTCAGCGGAACTGCTCTCGGCAAGTGCCCGCCACCCGCTTGGCGTTTCGCCCTGCCCCGCCCCTCACCCTGGTCCCGCCCCCGTGACGCAAACTGGGCGGAGTCAGCGTCCTTCGGCGAGACCAGCCGAACTGCGGAGCCGACCCCGCTCGGAGCTCCTCCCACGCTCGCCGGCCCGGAGTTGGCGCCTGCGCACTCGGCCCGGCCGCGCTAGTCCCCACCCCCTCCCTAGCAACCGCGGCTACGCCCGCCTCCCCCGCCTCGGCCGCGTCCGCGCACGCGCGACGCTTCCGGCCGCTCGGCCCCGCCCGCCCCGTCACCCGTAACAACCACTGGAGCCGCGCCACGCCCCGCCCGCTCCCGCCCACTACCCCCGGAACCGGTGGCCGAGCTCCGGCCGCGGGCAGTGGAGCAGCGACGGCGCCGCGGAGCCGCGGGGATGAGCGCCTCCCGCCGCCCCGCGTCCTGGGCCCGGCCCTTCTGACAGAGGTAGGCGCGCGTCGCCGCGGCGGGTCCGAGAGCGCCCCCCGCGCGGCCCCTCCGGGCGGCCGCCTCCGCGCCCGGCCCGCCCTTGCCGGTCCCCACGGCTCCCCTCGGCTCCCCTCGGCCCGGGCCCTCGGCTCCGCTTAGCCCCCCCTGTCCCCCTCGGCCCCGAGGCGGCCCTCCTCCCGTCCTTGGCCCGCTCCCCCTCGGCCCTCGCCGCCGTTCCCGTACCCGTCGCTGCCTCCCCGCCCCCACCCCGCCAGCCTGCCCACTCGGACACCCCTCCTTGCGGGCAGCGCACCTCCCCGGTCGGCCGGGGCTGGGGGGCCCGCCGGAGCCGCCGCGCTGCACCCCCTGCCCGGTGACCCGGGGCCCGGCCGCCCTGCGAGCCTGCTCGGGACGGACTCCCTGGGTCTGACCACCTGGGTCTGGCCATTGGCTAATTCTTAGGGACCGATTGTCATGCAATAGAGGCTGCCCGGGCCTGGACGCCCTCGGCCGGGTAACTCCGATTCCCACGGAGGACGTTCCCCTGGACCGAGCATCCGACGCGGGGAACTGGCAGGAGCCTGTGAATTAGCAGGTTCCTCGGCGCGGCCCCTCGGGTCCCGCGGAGCAGCGCGTCCTGAGTGGGGGCACGGCGCCTCCACCGCGCACGCTGCCTTTTCCACGCACCCGCTCACCCCTTTTTACCCCCGACAGTCAGCCACCTCCTTACTGGGAGGCACCCTGAACTCACTTCCCCTGTTACATTTAAGAAGATGATGGTTTCCCCCTGCTGTGCACCCACTAAATAGAACGGGGTCCCAGCATCGGAGAGAAACGACGCTTCCCGCCGAGCGTGGCTCTGAGTCTCATGATTGTAGAACTGGACGTCTTGCAAGGTTATCTCACCCGAAATCGCCTCTTACGGAGGCGACCGGGTCTGAGGGAGGTCACGTGACTGGCCCGAGGTCACCCGCCGATCATCCCGAGCAGGTTTCAGGCTGTCGGTCCGGGAGTGCATGCCCTTTGCCACCGTCACCGCCTCCCGGCGAGGGATGCTGAGCGGAGGCCCCGGGAAGCCCGGACCTGCCTGGCGGTAGCGCTGCAGACAGCAGTCCCGCGCAGCCTGTCTTTGTGATTGTGTTGTGTTGTGTTGTTGTTCGCATCTAGACTCCGGGCTCCTGGCGGATAGTCCACGTCTACCCTTGAGGATCCTCTCCCCGCACTCGGCGCACAGCAACGCCCTTCATGATCGTCCTCTGCAGGGCAGGTGGGCTTTTGGGATGTATTTTTCTTTCTCACGTTAAATGGGGGTGGGAAGGAGTACAGTGTGTTTTCAGAAAAACCCCTGGGGGCGGGGACTGGAGCGTGGATTTCTTGCTGCGGGAAGGAGGCCCCAGCATTGAATTGATTGCTTATCGATATGACAGCTGTTTGAGGCTGGACCCTTCAGAGGAGCCTGGGGCCAGAGTTCTGGGCGGTGCTGCCATTGGAAGACAGGTGTCTGAAATGGTGCTTGTGCGCTTCCAAAGTGGGGGTGGGCCAGTTTCCTTTGAAGCTAGCTTTTTTTTTTTAAGAATATATTTTTATTGATTTCAGAGAGAGGAAGAGAAGGATAAAAACCCCAGTGATGAGAGAGAATCATTGATGGGCTGCCTCCTGCATGCCCCCTACTGGGGATGGAGCCCACAACCCAGGCATGTGCCCTGACCAGGAATCAAAGTGTGACCTCCTGGTTCATGAGTCCATGCCCAACCATTGAGCCACACTGGCCAGGCTGAAGCCAGCTTTTTTTTTTTTTTTTTTTTTTTTTAAATATATTTTATTGATTTTTTACAGAGAGGAAGGGAGAGAGATAGAGAGTGAGAAACATCGATGAGAGAGAAACATCGATCAGCCGCCTCCTGCACATCTCCCACTGGGGGTGTGCCCGCAACCCAGGTACATGCCCTTGACCGGAATCGAACCCGGGACCCTTCAGTCCGCAGGCCGACGCTCTATCCACTGAGCCAAACCGGTTTCGGCCTGAAGCCAGCTTTTGAGGTGTATTCCATAATTTGAGATAACAGTGGTATTCCCCCCCATTTGTTCCCCACTTTTAAATTTCTCTGTGGCCCTGCACTTGATATCTTAGAGTGCCGCCATTTTTACTCGGCTTCTAGTAGACGTTGTCTAGGAGAAAACGATTCCGGAGCTGTTTGTCTTGTTATCAGAATAATCAGATAGTAACGTTTCACTGCTGGAAAGGACTCTAACCCAGGGCTGCCCTGGGAAAGGCCCAGCAAGGCGGCTACAGAACGAGGCCTTCGGGCCTCAGGCCAGGGCCGTTCCCCTCATTCCACTGGGCTTCCCTCCCCCTCGCTCACTGTCCATTGCCTCCCCCTGCCCTTGGTGTCACCTTGGATTTCTGTGTGCTTGGAGTTAGGACCTGTTGTGGTTCCTTCCTACCCTTAGAGGGGAGTGTGACGTACAAATCCAGGCTCAGTCTTCCCCCGTCCTGGCTATTTTTCACGTTTGTGTTTTGCAGGTGTGAGAAGATTGCAGGTCCATTACAATCATGGTGCAGAAATACCAGTCCCCCGTGAGGGTGTACAAACACCCCTTCGAGCTGATTATGGCTGTGAGTACTGCGCTCGCCAGTCTCCTCTTTGGTTTCTTATGTTTTTAGTGTTTGGATTTGATGATCTGTAAACGGATTTGTTGTTTGTCCCCATTGCTCCCTTTGTACTTTGTGTTTTATGCTTATGAACTGTATCTAGATTCTGTGAGATGTTTTTAAACTCGAAGTCTCTGGAAATCAAAATCTGCACGATTGTTTTTCAAACACGCCCCTCAGGGTCACGTCTGAGTCGGTTCTCCCTTTGAAAACACAGAAGTGGGATTCTGACCAAATGCTTCTTCCTCTGGGTTTTGCTCTGTGTTTTGTTTGTTAAAGTGGAACAAGGATTCGGAGAGGGTTTCCCCCTCCGCTGCCCGTTCGGAAGAGCGCTGTGGTCATGGGTGAATTCCTTTACCTGCAACCGAGCACCATACGATGTTGTTGAATCGACATGATTCTGATCCCTCTGCTGAATTAGTGTTTGCCCCTGTATCAAGTTCATGAGTCACATTAGAATTCCAGCAGTGGGGTTACTAGTCTGTGACCTACCTGAAGAGTGTGGCTGAAAAGAAGCATCCCGCTAGACGCAAAAAAACGCAGACATTCCCAGTGCTTTCGGGCCGCTGCAGGTGTTCCCGCCCTCTGTTCAGTGTTGCTGTTAGGTCTGACGCGCACACAGGAAATGCTCTGGCCTGAACATGTGCCCTGAGGACGCTGTGAGCTTGAACCGAGGTCGGGAACCACAGCATACCAGCCCCCTGCTAAGCCCCACTGGGTCTCTCTCAGCCCCCCGCCCGCGCCCCCTGCAAGCACGGGCTGGGTGTTCTCTTTCTGTTCTGTACACATCGAAAGTCAGGTGTTTAAGCCCCCGCTTCTGTTCTGCGTCCTCGGTGAGGTTTATCCAGACCAGCCCAGTTCTGAAAAACAAAACAAAAGTTCAAGCCCTCTCAAGGGGATAATTTCGGGCTAGGGAGCGAGATACCGTTTACTCGGCGTGAAGTGGTCGCTGGCAGGTGTACGGTTTGATCAGTTTTGACAACAGAGTGGCCACGCCTCTGCCAGGATCAGACCCTTTGCACCCGTTCGTTCCCCCAGGAAGTTCCCTTGGGCCCCTCTGCCAGGTGTGAGGCTTTTGTTTGTTTCTCTTCTGGTCTGATTTTAGCTCCTATTGCCCTTAAGGGCCAGAGCTGTTCAGTGTTTATGGCAGCAGCTTATTGAACGGCTTGCTTCCTGCTTGCACGGTCTGTGTGCTGGTTTAGCTTTTGGTTGTAAGAGCAAAGAACCCACTCCCGGGAGCTCCAGGAGGAAGAGGAAAGGGGAAGGGGAAGGGGAGGGGAGGGGAGGGGGGGAAAGAATTGTTAGGCTGGTGATAGGAATGGTGCGGAAATGCAGGAATGCGAGCTGGGAGGGGGTTCCTGCAGTGCTGGGGCCTCAGCAACCGTCTCCCTGGAACTTCACCCCGTGGTGGGCCTCTGTGCGCCGGAGCCTCTCCCCACCACCAGCTGCCGCTCTGCCCACTCGGCGTGCTCCCTCCCCTGGGTGTCAGCCCACGTGCTGTGTCAGCTGCTCCAACCCTGCGGCCCCCATGCCGTGCTGTGGCCTTCCTTGCTGCCTTCTTCCAGTTTCTGAGTGGCCATTGCTTGTCATGCTTCCTAGTTGAGATTCTAGTGAGACTTGGCCTGGTCATCTTCCCCTGGACCAAGGCAGGGGCAGAGTTCACTGGCTGCTTCTCACATCTTCGGTCCTGCAGATCACCCTGCATTCTTCTGCAGACACTGTTTCCATTGGCCAGCCCCGTTCCAGCCCTCTGTGCGCTGGTGTAACCTTCTGAACGCCTTCGCTGCTTCTTCAAGGTCCTCTGTGTCCTACCCTCTCTGTCCAACCTTATTTCTCATATTAAGCAAAGTTTGCAACACAGAACTTTGACGGTCTCTGTGCTGGTTTGCCGGTTTGCCACTTACAATGTCGTCTCCTGCCCTCCCCTCTCTTTTGATACTTCCTTCCTTGTCTTCAATGTTTGCCTTTCCCCATCTGTCTCTGGGAACCTTTTTGTTTTCTTAATCTTCACCCAATGATATTTTTTCTATTGATTTTCTAGAGAGAGTGGGAGGGGAGAGACAGAGAGGGAGAAACACCGACGTGAGAGACACATCGATGATCAGTTGCCTCCTGCATGTGCTCCTGACTGGACTTGAACCCAAGACCCTTCCGTCTGCAGGCTGATGCTCCAACCACTGAGCAACTGGCCAGGGCAGTCTGGGAATCTTAGTCTTCCTGACCCACCCCTTCCCTGCACCCTGAGAGGCCTCACGCTTCCCTCTGCGCCTCAGTGTAGGCAGCGTTGTCCTTTCACTTGTTAGTGGAGTTTCTTTTTTTCTCAGAGGTTCCTGGCTTTTTTTCTTACACCTTTATAAATTATGCAAAACCCTGTTGACAGGTACCATAACAGTAGGTTAAGCAATGTAATTCTATGGGTTGAATAACCAAAAAGACTATTTGCCAGTGTACCGTTGATTAAATGGCCGCAAGAAAGCGTGCCTTGTTGCTCTTTTCATTCTCTTGTTTTGTTTTTGTTTCATTATCTGGTGCAATTTTGAGTTGCCAACAAGGTATAACATATTTCATCCCCAATGGAACTGGGTCCCTTATTTATAATTACTTTTTAACCACTTTGCCAGTCCTGATGTGTATGCAGGAAGCACCCAAGGAGTGTATTGGCAGGTCTGATGCGGAGGCTGCTGTGTAGCAGCTGCGGGAGGGCGTGGGGCAGCCTGGCCTGGGGCTGGGAACCCGCCGTGCCGCTCAGGCAGCCAGAGGCCCGATGGGGATGTGGGCTGGTGGGGAGGCTCCCACTCAAGTTCACTGAAGAGGAGGTCCTGGTGGCCACTGTATCATTGGTCCTTCTTTCTTGGTTTTTAACCTGTATGAGAGTGAAGCAGACAGCTTTGTATATTTCTCCTGGAATCATTTTACATGTTGTAACAATGCATATGATGCGTTACAATCCCCGAAAGGTACATTGTGATGTTAGGGCTGCTGGCCTTTATTTTTTAGCAAAGTCTTTGTGTGTATGTCATTAGCGCGGCATGGAAGGTGGGTGCTGTATGTGTCTTGAGATGTGCTAAGTCGCCCTCCACTCGGAAGCCTGTCCTCTGCACTTCGGAGCTCTCCCGCCGGGCTGGGCGGCAGGGCCCATAACGCCCAGTGAGTCTCAGCTCCGGACGCCCGTTCTCACCGCCCATTCTCTCTTGGCTGCTGCCCCAGGAGCTCTAATTGGAAATCTGAACATGCCACTTGCTAGTTTAAAATTCCTAAGTGGCTGCACCTCACCTTCAAGAAGTTCAGGTTCTTGAGCGTGGTCCCCAGAGCCCTTCCCATCTGCCCCCTCCTTTCTCTATTGCTCATGGCGCATGTAGGCCCCACACCCGCTCTACACCTCGCTCTTGGGGTCCGGGCAGTGTCTGAAGGTCACCTGTACACCAGCCTGCGGATCCCTTTCCCCTCTAGCTCTCCTGTCTGCCTGGCTGCTCAGGTGAACTGGCTGGTTCCCTTCTAGTTGGAGTCCCGCTCTGTGCGCCGCTGCTCCCTGTCACCGCGCTGCTCGCTGTGCCTTGCCCGGGTCGCTGGGCTTTCTGGCTTCCCCTGCGGCCAGGTGTCTTGATGGAGCAAATCAACCATCTTGCTTTTTATCCTGAGCACATGGGAAGCCCTCAGAAATAGATTTGAGTACTGACTAAGGGATCCTCGGAATGTCCCCATGAAAACTAAGTCCCATCCCCTCCCCAGCCCCTGGCGAACACCTCCCCTTCTCTACCTGGTCTCTGAATATGATGTGACTGTTCCTTCTGTGAGTGGCATCATACACTACTTGTCCTTGGTGACTTGCTTCCTTCACTCCGCACGGTGCCTTCAGTATGGGGTAGCGCGTGTCAGAATTCCTTCTTACGGCTGAATAATTTATTTCACGCACAGACTGCATTTGTTTATTCATCCCTCAGTGGACACTTGGGTCGCTTCCACTTGGGGCCATTATGTTTATTGTACAGTTTTAACCTCTAGGTTTTAACTATAATGTCAACCAAAAATAATTGCGTACCTCTTTAGGTTTTTTATTTGTCTTTTATATTTGACTAGTGGCCCGGTGCACGAAATTCGTGCACGGGAGGAGGTGTCCCTCAGCCCAACCTGCACCCTCTCCAATCTCGGACCCTTTGGGGGATGTCGACTGCTGGTTTAGGCCTGATCCCAGGATGTCCGACTGCCGGGATCGGGCCTAAACCAGCAGTTGGACATCCCTTTCACAATCCTGGACCGCTGTCTCCTAACCACTCACCTGCGTGCCTGCCTGATTGCCCCTAAGTGCTTCAGCCTGCCAGCCTGATTGCCCCCTAACAGCTCCCCTGCTGACCTGATTGACGCCTAACTACTCCCCTGCCGGCCTGATCATCCCCAACTGCCCTCCCCTGCTGGCCAGATCACCCCCAAGGCTTTTATTAGTATAGATAGATTCCAGATCTAAAAGACAAGTCCCTGAGGAATTCACTCACTGTACCTTATTCCATGCAGTCTAAAGATATCTGTAATTTACATCTCATGATTGCCATGCTGTTAGTTTCTTAGCAAAGGAAGACCAGTGGCTAAAAGCAGGTAGAGGATGAGCTAGTGGTGACCGCTGGACGCAGAGGGTGGGCCCTGGGGCAGGGGACGGAGAAGCAGACGCTTCAGGGCCTGTGCGGCACAGCTCGTGCGTGAGGCGTGGAATCAATAGGACGTGATGGATGCCTTCCTGATGGGTGACACCAGCGCCTGCTCGCAGCCCCCTGACGCGGCAGTTCTATTCTGGCTCACGAAGCCAGATCATATTTCCATCGCTCATCCCGTTCCTGTGTGTGGGCAAACACACGGCAGCTTCGAGGCTGGCAGCTGCGCTGCCCGGACACCACGTGCTCTTCTGAAGTTGCAGTTTATTTTTCACGCTCCGGGAAGGAAGACGCGCTCTTCCCAGTCCTCCGGTCGGCAGA